CCTCCTGGCGTGGCCAGGCTGTCCCCGTCCCGCCCCTTTCCCGTCTGTGCAAATGGGTCACCACGCATGGTCCCCTCCTCAGTGAGCACTCCCCACGGCCACAGTGAGAGCTGGCCCTCCGCCCGTAACTGCGGCACCACCCCCTCCCCGTCTCCCCCCCCGCACTTGGGCCTGGACTGTGTAAGGCCAACTGGCCCGAGGCAGGGGAACACAATCAGATTCACAGGTTGCATCTGACCTGGAAATTCCCCGGACCACCCAGTTCCAGAAAATGACCTGGAGACATTCCGGACCACCCAGTTCCAGGAACTCACCTGGGGACCTTGCACCTGGCCCAGCCTTCCCGCCTTTCGAGGGGCGGGACTAACGGTCCCCCAGGATACCCGAAAAGACCACCAAATAAGGAATAACCTGCTCCCTCCCAGATTCACCACACCCCTTTCCCTTCTTCCCCTATAAAATCTTGCCCAACCCCCGCCCGGGTGCGACTTCTCTGGCCCCTTTCTCTCGGACCAGTGAACCTCGCCCGGGGGGAGCGCTCCCTAATAAGACCCACTTGAAGCTTTCCTCTGTTTCCGCGGTGCCGTTTGTTAAGATCCGACCTTACAGGCTGTTTATTTACTTGCTCCCTGTTCTTTCCGGGCCTCCCAGGAATGTGAGCCCTTCAGGGAGGGCCGGGGCCAGCTCTCCCCCGCCCCCAGCAGGGATGGGGTGCGGGCTGGAAGGTCCCACCCATGCTTGTCCCACCATCCACCGTGGCCTCCCTTCCAGTTCACAGCAGCCTGGATGGGAGCCGGGTCTTGGGCCCCCGCCCAGGCCCTGCCCTCTGTCCCCTCTGCCCAGTCACTCACTCCCCAACTCTGGGGCAAATCCTTCCCTGAAAGGAATTTTCCTGCGGTGTCCGGGAAGTTACTGAAGTAGGTGGCCTGAGCTGGGGCGGCCCCGACAGGGACCTCGTACATCTCTACCCCTCCTACAGGAGCAGCAAGGGGTCCCTAACTGCGACGGCCACGTCCTCTTCTTGCCCTTCGCCGGCCCCGCCAGGGGTGGCCCTTCCTGTGCTGGGTCCAGCAGGGAGTTGACCTGGCCCTGCCCCCCTACCCCACCCCAGGATGCCTGCCTCCGGCTGCCTCTATTCTCCTCGGACCCCGGCCCACCCCGCTGCTGTGAGACTGGGGTCTCAGCACCCCGGCACTTTTGAGCCCAAATCCATCCTCTTTGGTCCATTAATGTCTGCCGGATTGATCTAAAACTTTCCATCTGGTTCTCAGCTCCTTTCACGTCTCCCTGTGCACCCCCTTCCCTCTTATCCCTCACCCCGGACTCTGAGGGAGGAGCCAGGGGAAACCCGCGGCCACTCCCACCCCGCACTGCAGACTCAACGCGCCCAGGACCCCGCACTCGGAGCCCAAACGCAGGGCGTCCCCAGTGGCCACTGTCCCCTCCCCTCCTCTCCTTGCACAACACTGCACAACCCATCTCATCTGAAAGGACCTTCCCTCCCCATCCAGGCCTTTCCTGCCAGACTCCAGACCCCACCCACCCTTGGCTCCCTTGGGCGCCACCCTCAGCTCTGTGGAATGTGTTCACCCAGGTTCCCCTTCCCCTCCCAGGGACTCTGCCCTTCCCCCGATCCTGGGCCAGGATGCGGATGCAGAGGACAGCTGGGGTCAGCTCTGTTCACAGCCAGAGCCTTCAAGGTCAACTCCAGAAAATGAGAGTCAGTTCCCACTGCGCCCTATGCGTGGAGCTGAAAGGATTGTCGGGAGGCCCCACCTCCCCTTCCTCAGTAAAGGACAGTGCCGGGGCTGGATAGGGTCATGACCACCCTTTACAGGTGAGGAAACTGAAGGGAGAAGTGATGGGCCTTGCCCCACAGCAGACCCTCCAAAAACTCAGGCTCGCAGGTAAGAAGGGGGTAGGAGGCGCTGGGGGGCCGGACTCATTGGGGATCTGACACAGAAACTGGGGGCACAGGGTCTGCCAGACCCCAAGAGGCTGAGAAAGCCACTGACGGCCCGTCCTTGCTCCCAAAATAAATCACTCCACAGCCACTTTTGAAATCGGCTTTATGTCAAGCTATAAAAACTAAGATCATGTTATAAAAAAACACATACAAAAGCAGTACTATCAAAAATAATAATAATAACATCAAACATGCTAACTCCTACAAATGTACAAAGGCATTTGTGCACCATTTACATGGGCCAGTTTCTGGCCACAGTACCTGGAAAAAGGGAGCACAAACCCGAGAGAGCCGGCTGCAAACCCCGTCACGGCATGCCCAGCGGCGCAGGGGAGGTGGAGTTGTGCCTAAGTCTGACTGCCGAGAGCCTCTGGGGTAAGCAGAGGCCGACGAGGGTAACTGAACCCATGTTTTCCTGGGATAGGACAAGGCACCCCACAGGGCAGGGGATGGGTGGAGGCTGTGGTGGGCAAAATAATACCCCCCTCCAAAGATGCCCACGTCCACATCCCTGGACCTGTGACTATGTCAGATTCCAAGGCAAAGAGGAGTTAAGGGGTCAGGTGGAATTAAGGTTGCTAATCAGCTGAACATCAGAAGAGGATCCTGGATTGTCTGGGTAGGTCAAAGGTCATTGTCTGGGTGGGTCAAAGGTCATCACTGGGGTCCTTAAGGAAGGAAGATGGAGGCAGGAGAGGGGTGCTGAGATGTGAAAAAGAGATCGACCGGCCGTTGCTGGCTTTAGAGATGGAAGGGGGCCACTAGCCAAGAAATAGGGGAGGCCGGCCTCTAAAAACTGGAAAAGGCAAGGAAATGGCCCTCCAGAGCGTCCAGAAGGAACCAGCCCGGCTGACACCTTGGCTTTAGCCCACTAGACCCACGTCAGACTTCTGACCTCCACAACTGAAAGAGAGTTCTTGTTTTAAACTACTAAGCTTGTGGAAGTTTGCTGAAGTGGCAATAGGAAACTAATCCAGAGGCCAAGGAGTCAGAGGTCAAGCTTGCCCTGCCCAGACCTCAGCCCGACTTCCAGGGGAGGACCTGCGGAGGCACCCCTGGGCCTGTCTCCGTGTGGCGGAAGGCGGAGGCCGAGAAAACCCAGGAGGTCCTTGCCCCTCCCGGACCCATCCTCAGGGGAAGCCCGTGGGGAAGCAGAGAAGGGTCAGGGGCTGAGCTGCAGGGTCCCTGATGCCAGCTCTGCCCCCAGCTTGCCATGTGACCCCACAGGCCCCTTTCTAGGTCCCAGATAAGAGCTCATTTTTCCCTTTTTTCGCCTCCAGTTCTGCCCTCCATTCCACGCCCTGGCTGAGCCCAGCTCAACACAGCCCTGGACCAGAGGAGGCAGGAGGGGTGAGGCTCAGGCCCCCACCCAGGAGCTGGGGAGGCACCGAGACCCAGGCTGAGGAGGGCAATTAGGAGGCAGCCTGTGGAAGGACCCCACAGACAGGCTGTGACCCCGGAGCTCCGTACCCTGGCCACTCCCCCTCCTGGCCCCCTCCTTCAGAGCGTGCAAGATCCACTGTCATCTACAGGGAGCATCTCATGTGTGGCCTCCTTGGGTCCCCATAGCTCCCTACGCCCGCCACGGGAGGGGTAAACAAGCCAGGGCCTGTCCAGTTCCCGTGGCCCAGGGACCTGCGCCTAGGCCGGGGCTGGTCAGAAGCAGCAGCAGAAGGCGGGACGTCGGTGAGGGGCCGTGTGGGGCTGTGAAGCTGGTGCGGGTCTGAACGGCCCCCGAATGGGGTGGCATCCGATGCTCGCCAGGAGCTCGCAAGGAGGCCAGGCCACAGAAGTAGCTAACCAACCTTTATAAGTGAAAACAGGGACTTAGAGGGCTCGCGCACCCCCGTGTTGATGTCCAGGATGCTCCGGATGCCCCTGAACTCACTGTTGGACAGGTTCCCCTTGATGGCCAGGATGGCACTCAGGTGGCCTTTGCTGGCAAAGAGAGTATCCTATCAGTCCAGCCCACTCGCCAACACCCCTGCTCACACCCCCTCCCAGCTGCCCAGACTCCGGGCCGGAGCCACAGGGCACTGCGGCCAACCCCCTGCCCACGAGCAGCACCCCACGCACACGCTCCTTTGCCCACTGAGCTCCAGCGGCGCTGGCCACCGTGCGTCTCCAGAGTGCGCCAAGCTCCGGCCCACCTGGGGCCTTTGCACTGGCTGTCCGTCCTGGAATGCTCTTCCCCATGCTCTTGAGATAACCCGCTTCGTCTCACCCTTTAGCTCTCAGCTAAAATGTCACCTCCCCTGAGAGGCTTTCCCATCTCTAAAGTCAGCACCTCCCGTCATTCACAACCTTGGTTAAACAGTCTTTAAAACGCACAATTGAACTCCTTTGCCTGATCACCTCATCGTTGCTAACCTTAAACAGACTGTAAGTAACATGAGGGAGAGTGAAGACCTTGTCCGTCTTGTACTTGCATCCTGGTGCCTAAAACAGAGCTTAAGGAGACCAGTACCTAGTAGGAGACCACTCAGTAACTGTTGGTAGAATGGGTGGATGGGTGGATGGATAGATGGATAGATCAGTGGACGAATGGATAGGTGGATAGGTGGACAGATGGATAGGTGGATGGGTGGAAGGGTGGATGAATAGGTGGGTGGATGGATCAATGGATGGACAGATGAGTCGATGGGCAGGTCATCAGATGGATGGATAGAAGATGGGGGAGCAGGTGGGTAACGAGGTGCTTGTATGAGTGGGGAGATGGATGGGTGAGTGTGTAAGTGAGGGGATGGGTAGGTGAGTAGGTGGAGTGGATCAGCCAGTGGCTGGACTAGGCTACGCTGGGACAGTCTAACTCATATCCCATAACTGGAACAGTCTGACAGTATCAGAGGACTCAGCCCATAGAATCAATTTCCCTGACTCACCAGATCCTCAGGCAGCCAGGGGCTAAGCCTCCACTCTGGAGCAGAGGTACTAGGACCCAGGGCACAGGTCATGTCCCCGAGGACCCCTAGGCTGAGTGGCGGACCCCAGCTTCACTACTGACTTGCCATGGCCTCCAGCAGGTCCCTGGTCTCTCTGATCTCTGTTTCCCCTCTGAGGGGCATATCATAAAGGCTAAGAATGTGGGCTGTGGAGCCAGACCCCCTGGCTTTGTCGTCTTAGCTCTACCACTGACTAGCTGTGTTACCCTGGACACGTTCCTTAAGCTCCCCAGGTCTCATCTGTAAATGGGGATGAAGAGTGTCAGCCTCACAGGGTGGCAGTAAGGACTGAGTGAACAGCCACTGTAAAGATCTGGGCATGGTGGCCGGTACACAGCACTCAGCAAAGGGACTGCATCACGGTGGCCGGTATCTGAGCTCTACCCACCCTGGAGGGACTCATTCTGGCTCCACCAGGCCCTGACCACAGTCGGGTACATCAGGGCCATGCTACCTGCCCAGGTCCTCTGGTGCCCCTGTTCTCACCTGAAGTCAGGGTACCAGGTGGCATACGTGGCCACCTCGATCTTGATGGCACTGGGGTCTTGCAGGCGAATAATCTCTGCGAGCGTGGGGAGGGCATGATGCAGCCAGGTTGCCGGGGAGCCCTGCAGGCACAGGCCTGGTTGGAGGGAGGCTGTTCCTGCCCCGGAGGCCACCCAGGGGCCCAGAGAGGCTCAGGCCCGACCTGACTGGGTTTGGAGAGGCCCAAGGGGGCTGTCCTGGCCCATGAAGAGCTCGGAGCAGGAAGGCAGCCTATGGGAGTGGGAGCTGGGAGGGGCGGGTGGGGGCTTACGTTCTGAGTGCAGAAGCGGTGGATGAGCTCAGCGTCGGCCAGGATGTGCCCTGCCAGCTGCTGCTGCTGCTCTGCCGTCTTGAGGACCAGGCGCCGCTTGCTGAGGCGGATGATGTACTCCTTCACCAGGTGCAGGTGTACAACCTCCATGAGCTCCTGGGTGCGCGAGTGGGCAGGGTCATGTGAGCCAACAGACAGGAAACTCACCACCTCCCTGGAGGCTTCGAAGCCAGCGTCCAGGGAGGGGCGGATGCCAGAGCAAAGGAGCACGTCCGTGTGTGTGTGTGTGTGCGCGCACATGTGTGCATGCATGTCCAGACCACCCCCCCTACCTGGCTCCTGCCACCAGCTCAGCACCCCCTTACCTCCCGGAAACAGTCCTGCAGTTCAGAGAACTCAGGCAGCCTCTCGCCCACCACGGAGATGATTTCCTCCAGGGTCTGCGCGGGGGCCGCCCAGCGGGTCTGTGTGAACCTCTTGAACAGTGGCTGTGAAAGGAGAGAAGCAGGATGTCTGGCCATGCCCTGCAGAGGAAGGGCCAGCCGCAGAAACATGCACACACAGACACACACGGACACACGGGGCCCAGGACAGGGGCAAGGGACGTTAAGGACTCCCAGGGAAGCCAGGGAGCGCTCGGGCCCTGCTCACAGGCAGGGACTGGAGGCGCGGTCTGCACACCCTTCTCAGAGGCTGACCAGCTGCCATCTGCCTGCCCTGAGGCCTTTTCCACTGGCCGCCCTCCTTAAATAAATAAATTCCTGCATAAACAAAGCCTTGTGCTTGGCTGGGCCTGTGAGGAGCCGGCCAAGTCATCCAGGGTCACCGCCTGGCCACCCACAGCTGCTGGGCACTGAGGCCAGGGCGGGTTCCCATGAAGGGCAGGCAGGGGGTCCCTCCTCTTCCTTTCCTGGGACCCCTGCCTCATCCTCTGCTAAAGGCACTAAAGGGTTTCTGTGGAAAGGCTCTGAGCATCACAGCTGGGAGTTAGGCACGGGGACAGGGCCTGGGCAGGAGGGTCTGGGGCGTCTAAGTGGGGGACGGGCACTGAAGCTTCCTGTTTGCACCCGAGGGCCCTGGGCGGCCCTCTGAGGCCAAGCCCTGGGGCTGAAGCGTTGGGAGTGAGGTCAAGGGCCCGCCATGGCCCCGTCACCTGGCCTCACACCATGCCTTCCATGTGCCAGCTCTTCGCTTCTGCCACCCTCCCTGCCCAGCCCCCTCCCAGGCCCTCCCCCAGCACTGGACTCAGCATGTGACACACGGCAGGAGACTCCAGCTACCTTCAGGACCCCAAACAGGTTCTGGAGCAGGGTATCAACGCCATGACTCTTGAGCTCATTCAGGGGGCTCAGCAGGTGGCTCGGGAGGTCCTGTGGTATCTGCCACTTCTGGTCCACGAACATCCTGGAAGGACATGGGAGGCAGGGAGATCACACCAGTCCTGCCCAGTGAGTCAGTTAGCCTGAGGCTAATCTTCCTAAACTATTCTTCTAGAACCTTCCCTGGCTCCCCATTCCCCATGGGAGCAAGTCCAAGTCATCCCACCCATGCTGCCGAGGCAGGGCCCAGCCTTCCCACCCCCAGCACACACGTAACACCACACCCTCTTCTAACTGAGGGCCTCTCCACAGCACCTCACTTTGTTCATCTGCTTAATGGACGTGATCACTGTACCTACCTAATAGGGTTGTCATAAGGATAAAATAAAATAAAGCAAATCAGTTGCGCGAGTGCTTGACCCACCAGCACTAGATAAACGTTCACTGCTGCTGCTGCTGCCGCCGCTGCCGCTGCCACAGGCCCTGGCATTTCCCTACGGACCTGCTCGTTTTAATTCAACATCTCTGCTGAAGCTGCTCCTCCCCCCTCCCCCATCCCGGGCACCTCCCAGCCGCCTCCCAGGTACCCTCTCTCTCTCTCACAGGCAGGCAGCCCCAGTGATGCCGGCTCCCACAAACCCCGCCCAGTGCCCTCACCGGAAGGAGAGACAGTTGTTGATGTTGGCGATGACATTGGCCCTGTAATTTCTCAGCTGTTTGCACCTCTCCAGAAATTCATCAAAGGCACGCTGGTAGCTGGTGAAACCCGAAAGGGAACATGCGGGACCAGCACAAACACCGGGACAGGAGCAGCCTCCCCGGGTTTACATATGGGCTCCCCGCAGCACAGGGAGGGGCCCCTAGCCCCGGAGCATCCTGTAACTGGCTTCACGTGCTCAGGCCAGTGAGGCCAGGGGCCCTGCAGAGCTCCTGAAGAGGGTGTCCACCCCGCTCTGCTGCCTCCCTCCTTCCCCCAGGCCCCCTCTAGAGCTGGAAGACTGGAGGTGTGGGCCATGCAGGGGTCCTCAGAGGAGGGGGAAGGAGCTAGCCAAGAGAACCGTGAGGGTGCAGACTGGGGCGTCCCCTGATGGGGAGGCCAGTGTCTCAGTCCCTCACGGGGCATCTGCTTTGCAGCTGGGGGCTGCTCTGCTGGGAGCTTTGCCGAGAGCAGGTGGTCAGATTACCTGAGGCTCTCAGCACCCAGGTGGGTGGTACAGGGGGATGAGGACTCCTGCTCAGAATGACAGACACCGGAGGGGCACGGAGGGGGCAGTGATCTAGCTTGGATCCCCACCTGGGGCACAAGGGAGGGGCGGGGACACTGAGAGGGGTGGCCGCAGGGACCCCTTCCTGTGCGTGCACAGGCCGTCACCCACCTCTTGAGGAACGCAGCCAGCTCCACCAACAGCATGTGCTTTATCTGCATGCCCAGGTCAAGGGTGATGCTCTCGGCCTTGGCCTGGCCCTGGGAGATGATCTGCAGGGATGAGGTGAACTGAGCAGGGGCCCACCGGTGCAGGGCTGGGGCCGGGGTGGGGGCGGGGGTCGGTAAGACATGGAGAACGGGGACTGTGCTCAGGGGTGAGCGTGTGTTTGCCCGCAAGGACGTGGGCTCAGTACCCGGCACCAGCTGCACTAGTGCACGAGGGGCAGCCCGTGCTACCTGGATGATGTCAATGGCCAGCTCACTGTGGCAGTGGCCGTCCAGCCTCTGGGGAGCCACATCCTGGGTCCAGCGCTGTGACTCCAGCTCCAGGGCACGGGCCATCAGCTCCTTCACGCTGGCCTTGGGGGAGGGGGGGCTGGTCAGGGGAGCACGAAGCCCACGTGGACGTGCCTGTCAGGCTCCCTGCCACGTCCTGTCTGCCCCGGCCCCCACCCCCCGCTTCCTTCCCGCCCCTCCTTTGCCCTGGCCCTGGCGCTGGCGCTGGCGCTGGACTCACCACCTGATTGCAGAGGAACGTGGCCTCCAGCAGCCGGATCTGCTTGGGGGACAGGAGGCTCCCAAGCCTGACTCCTTGCAGCTCGCCTGCCAGCTTGGGGCTGTTGATGATGTCACTATGGGCAGAGGGAGCTGGCATGAGGAAAGCTCACGCCACCCCTCCAGCAAGAGCCCTCCTCCTCAGCCTCAGCCTCTAGCAGGCCCAGGGCTCAACTGCCTGCCTCCACCGAATCCCATCCCTGCTTCCCCACCTCATGCGGTGGGTCCTCCACCTGCTCAGCCTGATCCAGGCCCCAAACCCTGGAACTGTCGTGCCTCCTTTTACTCTCTCACCCACATCTGCTTCTGCTCCAAAATACCGCCCCCAAACTGATGAGCCGCAAGCTACCCAGCTAGAGGCACCCCACTGCCCAGCCACCGCCCTCTCTCGCCTGGCTCACTGCAGGACAGCCCCGCCCTGGCTCCCCGCTTCTGCCCTCACCTCCAACAATCCCTCCTCCACCCAACAGGCAGTACCACCTCTCAGGTCTGATCTCCGGGCTCTAAGGGCTCCCCGCTCTCACACAGACAGGATGCAGCTCCTTACCCTCTGCCTCCTTCTCACCCATCCCCTGCCACACTCCAGCCCTGCTGGCCTTGGGCATCCACTAGCCCTGTGCCCTCTTCCCCCCGCCAGCCGGGTCTGCTGTCCCCAGAGGTGGGCCAGTCCAAGCAGGAAGGGCTGTTCCCGCACCACCCTGAACAGCTCTGAGGAGGCAGATCCACCCATCCCTGTGGCACCTCTGTTGGGTCCCAGAGCCCCCTGGGGACGGCCCAGCCCTGGCACTTCCTCAGGGACCTTGGTCTGCCTGGAGGCTCAAGAATGGCCCTCTCTGCCCCTCCCCCAGCCTGGATGCGCTGTGTCCCTTTGCTCCCTGCACTTCTGGCCACACAGGCCTCCACGGAGCCACCCTGGACTCCCCACCCTCGGGGCTCCATGCCCGGCTGGCCTCAGTTTCCTGCTGCAGTGACCCCAGTGGGTCCCAGGCTAAAAGCCCCTGGGGTCACTGGGACAGGAAGGCTGAGGGTGAGAGGTGTGAGTGCCTGGCGTTTCCTGGTGAGTCAGGACAAGCAAGAAGGAACAGGTTCAGAGCCGCCCTCACTCTCCCGCAACCCCTGCCCTGTGCCAATTTCCCTATGCCCTGCAGACTCCTCACCCACCACTCCCCGCCCCCCCCACGGCCCTTCCTCCAGTCCTCGCAGGAGGCTGACCCACCAGCACTAACCGAGACCACTGGCCACCCAGATGTGTCCCCGAGATGCTCGGACATCGCTCACACGGGCTACACCTCCAGGCTTCCTGTAGGCTTTACACTAGGTGCCGGGGCCAGTCCCTAAAGGAACCCCTGGCCTCTCGTGCCCTGGTCATTTCCACGCTGCAGTATAAGTCTCTCCCCACCCAGCTTGTGTGAATGACCAGCATGCCCAGAGATCCAGAGGTCTGGGGAAATGAGGGAATGCCTGAGGCGGTACCCAGCTGGTAACCAGGTATCCTCCACTGGCAGACCGAGCCTCCCAAACTGAGGACCTCCAGGCCTCGGTGGCCAGAACCCAGCTCTGCGTGGCCTCACTGAATGACCCTGCACAATGGGGATCTTTCCAACAGGCTCAGCGGCCCCACCCTACCCCTGCTCCCTGTCCTGCCTGGGAGTGCCCCCAGGGGCCTGCTGGATAATCCAAACACTGACGAGCTCCACACAGCTCCCAGAATGCTTCACAGCTCAGCCTCAGGCCCTGGAAGATGACCCCCTTTGCCGGGAACACCACCCTCCCTCTGCCTTCTTACTGACCTGTCCTCCTCTTTCCTCCCCTGCCTGACTGCCTGACTTCTATTAGACTGTGAGCTGCCCCAGAGCAGCAAACTCCTGTGGCAGGCAGAAGTCTGCGCCGCCTCTTCTGAGCTGGCTTCCTGGGCTGACCCAGGCGAGGTCAGGGCCCCCTCCTCCGGGCTCCCCTGCCACACCCCTTCCTGCTCTGGATGGGCGCTGCTTCAAGCCCTCCCCAGACTGGGAACTCATGAATGAATGATGAAGTCCCTGCCATTCTCTGTGCCTCAGTTTCCCCAACTGTGGAATGGGGCCGAGGCCCAAGAGACTAAGGACTCCAAGTGCAAAGCAGACCCAGCCCAGGCCCTGCCCCCTTGAGTCCAAGCCCATCTGTGCCGTTCTCCCACCTGGGACTCCCTGCACACGGTGACAGCCCCTGCAGAGCGGCCTCCCTGCCCCTGGGGCCCCGCCTAGCACCGGGGCGCCCGGCCGCCCAGCCGCTCACTTGGGGTAGAGGTTCTGCACCCAGACCAGCAGCACGTAGGTGTCGCGTTCGCTCAGCTCGAACTGCGCCAAGTCCGCCAGCTGCGCCGCGAAGTGCTCGTGGTAGCTCTCGGCGTAGGCCGCCACCACGGCGAACTCGGCGGGGAACAGCGGCTTCAGCCGCTCCACCACGGCCTCCAGGTCCTCCTTCATGGTGCGGCCCATGTGCAGGAAGGCGCGCTCGGCCTCCGTGCGGCCCTCGGCAGCCGCGGCCGGCCGCTGGCCCAGGCGCTCCTCGGCCGCCTGCGCCACGCCGCGCCGCCACAGCTGCAGCCAGTGCCGGGGCCGCGTGGCCGCCAGCGCCGAGGGCCCGGGCCCCGCCGCCGCCGCCGCCGCCGCCGCGCGGTCCTCGCGCTCCTGCTCGGCCAGCACGGCCAGCGCCTGGCGCAGCCGCTCCGGCGCCGCCTCCAGCGGCCGGCGCAGCAGGCCGAGCACCTGGTCGCGCAGCAGCACGTACAGCGCCTCCACCTTGCTCTGGCGCCGCAGCAGCTCCTCCTCGCTCATGCCGCCCGCCGCCATCACCGCCTGCAGCTCCCGCTCCAGCGCCAGCAGCGGCCCCGCCGCCTCCAGCCGCCCGCGCTCCAGGTCGGCCTTGAGCTCCTCCACTGCGGCCAGGACCCGACGTTAGCGCGGCCCGGGGCCCCGAAACCCACCAGTCCCCTCCCGTGGGCCGAGACCTCCAAAGGTGAGGTGAGGCGCCGGAAGGGGCGAGTCGACGTCCCAGACAGGGCCGAGGACCCCTCCGCTCGCTCCCAGCCCCTGAGATCAGGGCGCGCAGGGGAAAGCCGGCAAGGGAGACACCTCCGTGCCCACCTTTCCTGCCCTCTCTGTCCTGGGTGAGTGGGGCGTCCGCTCCAGTGAGCCCCGATCCTGCGCAGACCCTGCCCGGCTGGGACCCGGGGCCGCTGCCTACCTGTGGGCAGCCGGCCAGCCGGCCTGGACTGCGGCTCCGAGTCGCCCTCGGGCTCTGCTGAGCCGGGCCGACCCTTCTTCTTCCTCCCTTTGGTGAAGACGCGGAACACGGCGGCCAGGCCTCTCGGCCGCTTCTTCGCAGCAGCCTCTTCATCCCCATCCGGGGCTTCACCGGCCGCCAGGGGCGGCGCCAGGTCCTCGGAGGAGGCCTCCGACATGCAGGCTTCTGACTCTGCCTCCGAAGTGAAGGGCAACTTCTGGGCGCTCCGGGACAAGTCAAGGGCCCCTGGCGCAGCCTGCTGGCTGGGAAAGCCTTGTAAGGTCATCGTCTTCAGCATCACGCCGGCTCAGGCCTGCGGGTTGGCGAGGCGAGGGAATGAAAGGGTCAGCGGTCACCAGGGGATGGGCCTGGCTCCCGGCTCCCCGGCCCAGGTACACAGCCAGGTTGCTGTGTTTTCACCCGTATGACCACCAGGCTCTGGCCTTCTCGTGGCCCAGATGGGCCCCAACAACTCAACTCTCTCCCTGGACACCAGGTCCTCAGGACCCACGGTGCCTCCGAGAACTGCCGAGGCAGGGAGGAAGCTGGGGTTGGGAGGCACTCCAGACAGAAGGGGCCTTCACTTCATTTTGGCAAATCCTTCCTTGACAGCCCACCCTCTGGGCAGGGAGAAGGGACTGCAGCGCATGAGAACCACCCGGATTCCACGAGACCCCGGGGGAGCAGGCAGACCACGGGCCGCCGTCCCACGGCGCCGAGTGAGAACCGAGGTCCAGAAATGTCACAGAGCACCAGAGGCTGGGCTGAGGCAGGAATCCAGCCCCAGCCCCGTCCTCCATTTTGCCTGTTCTTGTCTTGACTCGGGGTCACAGAGGAACGCTCTGAGCAGAAACACGGCTGCTCCGGCCGGGACCACAAGGTAGGCAGGGCCTGACCCCTATATGACCTTGGGGCTCAAGTCTACAGAAACCACAGTGCCCCCTCAAACTTCAGGGGGTCTTTCCCATGTCAGTAGGGACAAGGGGCCCAATGAGGCACAGGGCTGTCTGAGGTCACACGGCAACTGGCAACTGGTACTGGAAACCCAAGCTTCCCGGCTCCACAAATTGGGTGACATCATCGTCACAAAAGCTTCCACTTTCTGGGCGCTTCCTGAGTGCCCATCCCATCACTTCCGCACTCCCTTCCAGGAGGCGTGTTATTTTCCTCATCTCACACAACTAGCTCAGAGGGCCTTAAAATGCCCCAATGGTCAACAGCCTGGGCTTGGAACTCAGATCACCTGGCTCCGGGCACCCCTGCCTCGTGGCACCCAACACCTCGCGAGCCGCATTCAGAGGGGCAGCACCCTCCCCAGCGCCTTGACCATTGTGGAAGCCAGGCTAGGACCGGTGGAGGGAAACATGGCTGACCCCAAAGGAGGGAGCGGGGCAGGGCTGGGCCTCCCTGGTAACTGGGGTGATCCATAACCACAGTGCCTGCCCCACCACCCGAGAGTAAACACACCAAGTCATTACTCATACAAACAGTGACTTCAGTTCGCCCCTGCAACGGCCCTGCAAGGCAGATGGGGTGATCCAATCATCCAGAGAGAGAAATTGAGGCGGCAGGAGGCAGGGTGGGATTAGGCCTGTCAGACTTTCTACAACCCCTGCTGCCTCCCCATCGGCCCAGCCTCCTCTCGCATCCGCTCGGGGACTCGTCCCAAACCCCCGAGCTTGACCAGAGCCACTCAGTGGCCAGGAGGCCGGGCTTTCTCACACTCCCACTGGTTTCAGCAGGTGCCTGGGCAGAGAGTCCTACCCTGCTGGATCTCCGTTGCATCCCCTGTGCCATTTGGCCTGAGAGTTCCACTCCAGAACCAAGCAGGGGGTACTCTGGGGAGCCCCAAAGCCAGGGTCCCCAGGTGCAAGGCCACTGGGCATTTCCGCCCTGCAGAACCCTTGCCCCAGCTTCCCTCCCAATCCATCCCATTTTCATGCCAGGCACCCACAGGAGCTGGTCTGGCTGGCTGGCTGGGGCTGCTCAGCGCCACCCCGGGCCCCCAGGCCCCACCTCTGCCCCCCGCTGGGGTGAGGGTGAGGGCCATCTGACCCGCTGTGCTCCCGGCGGCCTCACCTCTGCCCTCACTGCCCCCCACCTCCTCCGTCCCCACACGTGCTAGGCTCTACCCAGCCTCCAGACCTGGCTCCTGCAGGTCCCCACATGGCATGGCTGCCTCCTCGCCTCTGTGGCACAAACTCTCCTTACCCTTCAGTGTCCTGCAGCAGCCCCCTTGGCCCACGTCCCAGGCCTTGACTCTGAGGCAGCTGGTGCAGCAGAGAGAACAACTGTGGGCTTAGCTGTACCAGCCACTAGGGTGTGGACCAGACTTCACCCTTCCTTCATAGGCCTTAGTCTCCCCATCTGGGAAATGGGGATGAGGACCCCACCTCACAGTACTGCGGAAAGGATGTGAGGAAACTACTCAGACACATGCTGGCACCTAGCCAGGCCTCAGTAAGGGTCTGCATCATGTGTCCCAGTGTCTGTCAGGCTAACCCTGGCGCCCGGATACAGCAGAAGAGGGCAGGAGAGGGATCCTTTAAGGCCAGGCTCGCGGCTGGGCACACTGAGACAGGAAGGGGAGTGCTCCGAGTCATACCCTGTGGCCACAGCCTGTGGCCCAACAGTGGCACCCCTCAGGTCCTCCCAGCTCCCCCAGCTTCTCCTCAGGCACACCCTCACTCTCCTTTCCAGGTCAGGGCTGAGGTCCACCCAAGCCTCCCTGGCCCCCGTGCCTAGCTCCTCTGTGCCTATAGGTCCCGCTTCCAACCGCAAAAGGAAGGGACACCCGGCGCCTTTCCCCACAGCCCCTCCCTGATGCTTTTTGCGGGACGCAGTCCTCCGCTGGGAGCATCTAACCCGGACCCTCTGCACCCTGACGCAGCAGCTCAGCCCGGGGGCCTCAGTTTCCCTAGAAGAGGGGCTGCCAGAGACCTGGGCTCCGTCCCGCCCCCTTGGTCCCCTCCGTCGCGCCGGCCGCTCCCTCGTGGGATCGGGCCGGAGACTCGGGGTCGGGGCGGCCGGGTAGCCGCGCGGAGAGGTTGGGGACGGACGCACCGCGGGCGGAGGTCACTTACTGTGTCCGGGCGGGGCCGCCGCTGTCTGGGCTGAGCCGGGCGCCGCCTGAAATAGACGCAGACTCCGCCCCCGCTGGGCCCGCTCGCCCCGCCCGCCGCCTCCGCGGAAAACCCGCGGGCGAAGGCCAAAGCACAGCGTGGCGGGGGCTACCTGAGTCCCCGTGTCCGGTGTCGCGCGCCTCCCACCCAGGCGGTGCGGGACCTGCTTAGCAGGGGAGCGGGGGAAGGGGTCACGACCTCCCACCAGCCCGGGCGGGATGACTGGGCTGGCCAAGCGTCGCCAGGCTGTGTCGGGCGCGGGACCGGCACCCAGGGCGGACGGAGTGGGTCTGGCGCTGACCCGTTGTCCGACGACGGCTTCCGATTGGCTGGCTGGGAGGGGCCCCCGCGCTCAGGACCACTTTCGCGCGTCACAGGGCCAGCACCCACCCCAGCTCAGCCCAACTGTGGGGAGTCCCCTTCCCCCCGCGGGGTGCTGGGGACAGTCCCACCTGACACCCTCGGAGGTTGGCCGCGCGGAGAATCACCCCCTCTGGAGAGAGTGTTTCCACTCTGGGTATCACTGTGGCTGCAGAGAGCCATGGGAGGGGGCCTTCATGGAGGAGCCTCCCTAAGGGATCGGGGGTTGGTCAGCCATGGACAAAGCACCTGTGCTTGGTGCCTTGCATACGCTGTCACCATCGAGTCTTGCTTAAAACGGAGAAATGGCTCACAAAAGTGAGTGACTTGGCTTCCCTGGTGGCGCAGTGGTTGAGAGTCCGTCTGCCAATGCAGGGGACGCGGGTTGGTGCCCCAGTCCGGGAGGATCCCACGTGCCGCGGAGCGGCTGGACCCGTGAGCTATGGCCGCTGAGCCTGCGCGTCCGGAGCCTGTGCTCCGCAACAGGAGAGGCCACAACTGTGAGAGGCCCGCGTACCGAAAAACAAACAAACAAACAAACAAAAGTCCAATGGAAGGGGAGAGAAGGGGGTCAATA